CTCTCTCTCTCTCTCTCTCTCTCTCTCTCTCTCTCTCTCTCTCTCTCTCTCTCTCTCTCTCTCTCTCTCTCTTTTTTCTCTCTCTTGTATCTCTAGGTTCATCCGAGCTGCGCAATTTAACCCTTTCAGTACCGAACTAAATGTAGGGATGTTAGCGCCTTCCTCTTATTATCAATGCAATTTTACAGCCGGCGTTCATCAGTGTTCGCTTAACTTTAAAGATCGTTATATAGATATTCCCTTACACTCGTCGTGGGATACAAATATGCAAACGCTAATATTTAGGCAAGAGTTTTCGTTTACAACTCTCATTTAAATTTGTCAAAAATCCCTTTTCTATTTATCAATTATTATAGTTTATACGCTATAATATAAAGACATCGAGAATCACTTAAATAACGTCACATTAAAATTATCAGCAAATAACTATGAAGCCAGTCACATTTCTCTTCAATTAGAAAAGTTTTCAAGAAACCGAAAACTTTTTTAATTAAAGAATTCATTTATCAATAAACAGAGGAGAATACATAAATACCTTTTTTTAAAACTGCCCGTCAATCTTCAAACTTCTGAGAAATCACGTTATCTTTTCTCTCAATATATTCAACACTTATTATTCGTAGTTTCGTTGCTTAATATAGAATGCCACAAATTATTTCCATCAATAACCTGTTTTCAAAATTTTGTTGAGTAACATCGGAGAAAATTAAATCCCATCTCAAGATTCCCAAATGGACATGGCGGGGGCGAGGGATAACATCGTAGAATATTTTTATTAAATGTTTATCATTATTAAATGCAGGTTTAAGGCAGGTACTGAAAGAGCTAATGGCGAATAAGGAAAGCGAACTCCTATTATACCTCGGTAGATACTTATCGTCTCAGTAAAGTATCATCGCTCGATGCGTGTATTACGCACTATAACGAGATAAGATTACCCACTTGTGATGCTATATAATAGTGTCGATCTTTTAATATATTATATATATAGCAGCGGTGATAGAGTAGTGCCCGACTAGCTCGAAATACATAATTAACGAACAAGTAATCGCGAAATATGCGTTGTTAATCTATATTTGTATGTATAGATACTTTATATGTATATAACTATGTATATACTATATGTATATATACATATATCATTTTGTTCTTGTTTCTTTTATCGTACCCTGGGGCTTAGGTATACACGTGACTAGTTCAAAAAGGAAAAAAAAAAATAGCAGAAACCTCTTCGCCCGTCGCGCGCTGATATTCGTACCTTCGCTTCCTCTATCTGTACGTGTCTGTGTATGTTTCTTCCTGTGTCTAGAATATATTTATGCGTGTGTGTCTCTGTCGAAACAGCCTAGAATCTGCAAGCACTCGGGTTCTAGTTCGCTCGTTCGCGCGGACGTTCGAGGTTCGCCTAAAGTTCTCTCGAAAAAGGTACGCGGTTCGAGATGCGCCCGGAGATTTCTTGTTTTATTAGAGACGACCGCCTCTCTAAACTCCCGCGGAAGTCTAGGTACTAGAAACGACAATAACTCCTATTCTCGGGAGGAGCTCTCGATCGCGCGAGATCGATCCTCGCGGTCGCCGTCGACGTGGCGACGACGACGAAGACAATGACGACGGCGATAGCGCCGTCGTTCACGAGACAACGTTACGTGCGCCGGCGAGGTGACGGGGCCTCGTGTTATTTTTTGGCTGAATTGAGTCGAGTCTCATCGTCGAGGGCTAACTCGGCGCATCTTCCGGTTCCACCGCACCGCTAGCCGGCCCCGTCTGGCTACCACCCTGATGGCTCATTGTCACAAACTGCTGCGATAATGTCTGCAGACTCTGCCGCACCTACGAGCAAATATATTCTTTCATGTCAAATGAATGTGGCACGATTAGTCACTTAGATTAGTTGATTTGATGCCGTCACACCTGGGATTTTTTTCGATTATCTTTGATTTTCAAGTGCCACGATAAAATATGAACATCTGGCGCGATAAAGTTATGAGTAATAAAAATTGCTAATAACTTTATGTGTCTTGTAATTTAACATGAAAACAAAATAAAATATGAAAATTATTAGATGAAACATACAAATTATAAATTTGCATTTATTATTGAAAGTAATAAAAACTTATCTAATTTAACTTAATTTAAATATATAAATATTTATTGATCAATAAAGTATTCAAAATATATAAGATGTATATAATTTAAAAAAATGTATCAAGACTCAACTAGAATTAAATATATCTGTCTTGTATATTTCTAATTAATAATTATTTTTAATTTATGTAAATATAAATAAAAAAATAATTATTAAGTCTCAAAAAATCCAGCCACGACTAGCAAGGCCAATATACTTAGCTTTGCATATTTCTAGTATTAATTTAATAAAGTTATTTAATTTACAGCCATTATATATAAATTAAGAAATAATTTATCTATTGAGACCGGAAAGATTTCACGACAAAATAGCATTATTATTCGCATTTTATTATCCAGATAATAATAAGAATCAAATTAATGTGAATAAACGGGAAAATTACCTTCACTATTTGATCCAGATTCGTATTAAGATAATGCAACAACCGATCCTGCGTGAAGCGTTCCGGCGAGACGAGGGGATGATTCAAATAAGCGGTGTGCAATCTATCAATGCGCATCATCATTAGAGCCGCCGATACATAAAGAATTGCCAAGAGAGCCACCAGTATTGTTATCACCATGCCAGGCTTCAATCCGCTGGCAAACAAAGATCCCAACCTGCCGGATCTGCTCGGTGTCAGCGCCTTCGTTAATACCGCTGTCTCTAGTCTGAAAGAAAGATACAGAAAAAAGCGGAATAAGCGACAGTTGCGAAAACAACTTCAATGCATTTCGCAAAACTATGAGCTAAGAAAAAACTCGATATGATTATCTAGCTTTTTTTGTCATTGCGATTTAAGCAAATAAAATTTCACTTCGTATAAATTTGATATCTTTATTAGACACTTATATTCCATTCCATTTGCTAAAATTTTCAATTAATTCGCCTAAATTAATTTAACTTTTTCTCTCTTGTTTTATTTTTTACATTAGCTTTTTATATGGAAGTACAGATGAAGATTCACCTGGCAGGAGACAAACTGGGCCTGCTGAGCGCCACGGCAGCGCCGTCGGTGTCGGTGCAGATAGCCGGAGATCTGGTGACCGCCGTGAGATCGGTACCACTTTCCGACATACTCGACTCATCTTCCTCGACGTTCACCTCGGAGTCGTCAACCAGCAACGCGTTCGGAGCCAGGAGTTTGGTGTCGTTGTCGAGAACCGGCAGAGCGTCCACCGCCATTCGCGGCTCCATCGCCGCATCCCAGACCTGCTTCATCAGCTTGTACGTTGAATCACGTGACAGTAACGAACAGAAAACGTGGCGCTCTTCCTCCGTGGCGACCGCCACCGCGTTCGGTATGATACGCGCCGTCTTCTCCTTGCTGATCTTCAGCACCGACACTGTCGGTATCAGCAGCTTCGTCACGTAGCCAAACACGTTGCTGTAGAAGGCGAAGTAGTTAGGCGTGATGTACAGGTGACCCTGCAGCAAGATGTCTCCCACCAGCGCGCAGCTGTAGTAATTGAGCACGCGCTCGTCCTCCGCTACCTGGTAACGAAATTTCGAAGACTACGCATTAGGTCGGTACTGCCCTTTTGCCGGTACCACCGGCGCATATTCCTTCCTTCGCGCAATTTATGCCGTTTATGCCACTCCGTTCGTGCAAATCGTACCAATGTTTATAAAACGATTACGGATAAAACGAGATTTCAGAGCATCTGAAAATTTGGCCAGAAACGTTTAATATATTTTTATTATAATTTTATTGAATAATTTTAAAGTAATAATACAGAATGTTTAATAGTTAAAAATTATTACAAAAGTTATTAATATTCTTAACAACCCTTTTGAGCTAATTATCTTGATGATTCAACAAAATTATTTTTAGATCTGGCAAAATTTTTATACACTTTAGCAAAATCGTTTCTTTCCGTGTAGTTTATAATAAAGCAAACTTGAATACGATAAACTGTCAACTCGTGAATAATATAAAAATGCAAAGCAATCGTAAAAATTATCATACTAAAATAAAATTTTTTTTCACAACAAACAATGTTAGCCGTTAAATTCTCTTCTAGGAAAAGTGCTTTATTTGTGATATTCGAGATAGTTTGTTTAGAATTATTGTATACTCTCAGTCGAATTCGGTTCATGATATCTTCGCACTGAAGAGTCCGTTTCAACTTGTCACGCGATACCTTGTTTATCAAATACCTGTCAAATGTCAAGAAGGGTCTCCATCAGGATTGCGCTACGCATGCATTCATTAATAATTCTACATAATTGCATGACGAAATACTATGCTACATCAATTGCTCATAATAATATCAATCAAGAAGAAAACCGCCAAACTATAAATCCTGATACAACTCTATTAATATTTATGCCTTATTTATGCCTTTTATCAAACATCTGGGTCTCTCGCTTCTCTAAAGTTCACCCACGGATAAGAGGAAGTATTTTTATATTATTCATAGGCGAAGCGTGCATTGACGTATGCGTTTATATCCTACGGAGAAATTAAAACACTGTCCATCGGATGAAAATGAAACAGGGTATTGCGATAATGAATTAAGCAAGCTAATCGCTTGTTATATCGGAAAGAGCAATATTTACGGGGCATTTCCTTTTAGTTTTTTTTTTCCATACTTTTTCACGAGCAATTGCTTATTTCGTTAAACTCCAAGAAGGTAAATATATCACTTAGATATATTTCTACCTGACTGAAATGTCTATGGAATTTCTTCTGTCTTGCACTACTGGTAGACGTCGGCGACGACCTCGACGAGGATCTGCTAACCTTTGCTGGAGTTTGCGCGCCGCCAGCTGCCATCGATGGTGTACTCCTACTCAGTGGCTTCGAAAGGTGACTAAAAGAAAATAAAAATGTAAGAAAGCCTGTACTCATAGATGCTAAATATTATGTATTTAACTCGTACACATATATATATTTGAGAAAAATGCATCGTCAAGCTGTTTTTAAGCGATCGCCGCACTTAAGTGAAAAATAAAAAATATCTAAAAAGATTGGATATTTTTTTTAAATATGAAATAATCATTGAGGTGTATATCAACGATATTATTTTATAAATAATAAATATAATTTTAATAATAATAATAATAATAACAATTGTAACGCTAGCTGTAGAAGAATAATGTTAGAGTATATTATGACCAAATAAAAAATTAATCTTTCACATAATGTCAACCAAATAAATGTAATTTTGTATTAAAAAACAAAATGTTTAATTATAAAAATAATAATTATCGTAATAATGATCATAATTGATGTGTTTTTTTCTACTTTTGTATATATTCTTGTAAAATAAAATTAAATCAACTTGTACGTGCAAACTCCTGTAATTCTGAGAAAGGTTTATTGACGTATTTCCCTTTCTGATACTATCATATCTCATTTTATATCATCGCAGTTAGAATTCATTTCTTCTTAGAGATATATTATCAAGTAAAAAGATATGCGTGCCTCGTAAATTACCGATTATTATAATATCCGAATTTAATATGCGCCGTATTTAATTTACCATAACGCATACGGCAATTGGAAATTGTTTTCTACGGATGCGACATCCGGATGCGAGTTCAAAATACGGAAAAGGGTATCGGGTATTTAAAAGGTTGCTGATTTTCTCTGGGTTAGAACGATAACGTAAATGATGCAAGAGTTATCTCTTTAACTGCATTACCGAAACTTAATCTGACTGACGATGCTGCTTGTATCATTTTAAAATATTGAGTAATACTCAGTATTTACGCACAGCCGAATGTAACACGCGGATGTTTCAGATTAAAATTCCTTTCCCGACGATAATTAAATATGATAATTAATTGCGACGAATCTCGAATATTTCAGACACTTCACTTTCAGATTAACTTTATCTCCCATTTCATTCAGACGTTTAAGAAGCGCCGAGTCACTTGGCATCCTGAATTATAAATTAAAAATAAAGAAAAATTTTTAACATTACATATGTCCACTCGAGAGTATATAAGTTTAAAAATTATTCTTATCATTTATATTATATCTTATCTTTCACCAAAGTATTCAAACTGAAGAAGTAACATGATGTTACAGCTCTGATTTTTATTGAAATCATACGCTGTATTATAAACAAATAAACAAACAAATAAGTAAGCATTACTAACTTTTTGGAGTTATTCTGTTGGGGGATCGTGCTATTTCTTTTCCCCATAATAGAAATACTCCACAAATCGTTACTCCACATCTCCACACGTGTCCCCATCGTCGAATTTTTCGTAGATCCCCGTTTTTCACGTTTCAAAAATTGAAATAGTCTCATGCGGATGTTTTTATCGATACAGTCTCCAGTTCGTACAACAGATCACTAGCCCAGTTTTAACAGTGACAAAACTTACGTATCGTAAAAAAATACGAAAGCTTTCACCTCTGAAAATTCCGACGCAAACAGAAATAGACAAAATTATTTAGATAAAATTTCATACAAACAAAATTATTTCATAAAAAAATGGATTTTTAAAACAAACAACAATGTTCTATTTAATTCATTTCTTCCGAATAATAACAAAAATATAAAAAATATGAAACGTATTATACTTATCAAGTACCATCTCCAAAATCTACATTAAAAAAAAACTTTAAACTTCATAAATTCTGCCTTTATTTTCCGCTAATTTATAATCAATCAAAATATACAAAAAAGAGGTGATAACTATTATTTAAGACAAATTAAATTAATAATTTAAGAGTTAATACCTTCGCGTAATATCTGCCTAAATTCACATATTACATCTGAACTCGAACACCCGAGTTCAGTAAATATCTGACATCGAAGTCTAAGTGATCGAGTATTTTCTTACTCCTTTTTTTTCTTATGATTAAATTATTATTAGTTGTGGCAAATGGGCAAAACTTTTAATTCTTTCGACTCATCGAGAATAGCGCATCGCGAAAGTCGAAAAACGTTCGAATGACTCGATTCGAATCACCGATCGCGCCGACCCATCTCGCCGATTGCGTCGCGTATCGCGCGATTTTCGCACGCGAAGACGACCGCCCGACGTACAGCGTAACGCGTAACTGGTACACGATCCGTGTGGCTTAACAATCCGCTGCCGGCGGCAATGATAACACGTGGGAGACTGTCTGGAGCGGCCATCTCGCTCGATTAAAAGGCCGGCCGGAACCGAGAGACGAAAAAGAAAGTCGCACGGCGATAATGTTAACGACGGATGTAATAAGCCGATCCGATAACGAGCGAGATAAAGGAAATAAATGATAAATGAAAATTCGACCGTGATAAGATTCACGCGGGCTTAATGGGAGCCGCCAATATCGATAGGGATGCAACCGCGTGATCCTATGATTCGGCGAAATATCCGTAAATTCCTAAAATTCAGGCAGGAAAAATTTCTCCTTCCGGCACGATAATATTTACGCGTATTCAATAAAATCCATGACGTATTTGCACGTCTCCTTCTTGTCATTGTATGTTTTCTACTTGTGCTTATCTTTCTGCAATACAGTCCATATGTCATTGTATACAAAGCGATTCTAATCTCTCTATCGGGCAGCTATCCGAAGCTGACCCCTGATAATCCTTTATTTTTATTTTTAAAGAAGCGATTACCTTCAGGAGATAGATATAGATAAAGAAAATGTAGTTTTTATAATATAGATGAATGTTAAAAACAAATGACAAGATAGATGAATATTAATGAGGATTTGGCGTAAAAAAGAATCGTAAACGTATTTATCGATATCTGCTTCTCTCGTTGGAATTAAGATATTTTTAGAAAAAAATAATAGAACGTGCACATCTCGTTAAATACAAAGTTTCAAGTTGAATCAAAAATTCGTAAATATTCAACGAAATCCCGTCTGTAGAAATCGCTTCTAATAAAAAAAGCTTGATCATGTTTTATAAGATAGAGAGAATTTTACGAAAGTTTTTCATCTTAGGAACAATTTTACGAAGGTCTTATGAACGAGAGGGACCTCATTATTTTCAATAGAGGAAGATTCACTCAATTTTATATAAGAGGGCTGCAAAAATATTGTCAAGATTGAGCAACGAGGTACTCATATTTTGTATCGAGACGGTTCAGTCACAAAAGGCAATTTCACCCAGATAATACGTGCGACGTCATGCTTTGTACCGTAATAACCGCTTATGGACGGCATGCATGGAACAGCTATTGTAAGAATGGCCGCAAAACATTCCCGTACGATTGAACTGTTTCAAAACACAACTCTATTCTCGACGTGATTTAACGCTACAAGTGCTGTCTAACTCCTCGGCATTTAACGTTAAACATGCGATGGAAATTATCGGCCTATATATCGACGTCGTGTGCGATTTATAAGCACACGACGTCGTTTTTAATGTGAGACTCGCGAGTCTAGTTCTGCAGGTCTTATCTTATCTGCTAAAATCGACGCATAGCACTAGTTTACGTGTCGTAAAAATTTACAAAGCGCATTACATAACTAAAAAACACACGAAACATAACATACGCGTTCGAGAAACACACTTGAACTTGTATTATTTGGTAAATATATGAGTGATCCAATTAACGTGTAATTTAATCCGATTAATAGATAATCGGTTAAAAGTAAAGGAACTTGTTGAGATTATCAGTTCATATATTATTTTTTAATTATTTTTATTTCCGTAACAAAATAATTCGCCCGATATTTTGGGTACTCGAGATTAGAAAAAGAAGTGCCTGACAAATGTGATAGTGATGAAAAAAAAATGTTAATTAATTGTATTGTGTATGTGTATTTGTAAAATTATTTTCTTTAATACTTCCATTTAAGTCACGTCGACAAACCACATCTGATCTTCTCAATCTTATCATGACGAGTATGCCGTAATAATATTTAAACATTATAAATAACTGTAATTAATAATGGCATTTAATAATTGATGATATGCTGTGACTCTCACATAGAACAAATTTCCCACAAGTTAATTATATCTTCTTATCGCAAAAATATATAACATCTTCCTTTATCAAAATCCCACCCCTCCTCTCTCTCTCCCACTTTTTCCACAATTCACAGGTGTGCGACATTATCATTGTCGCTGCTTGATAATTTTCAAGAACCGATAGCGCGCGATTTCACGTGGGAATCATCTGATTTGCGGGAGCAAAGTTGAAAATAATATGACATTAATAAGAGTAATAAAAATAAGCGTGTAAATATATGCAAAATTATTCATCGACCTCACGTATCGCGAGTAAAAAGCGTCAATGGCAAAAAAAGTAATAACAATTACAAAGCATA